TTAAAGTAAATTGACTGTATATTTGTGGGCAAAACCTGGCAGTCAATTGCGCACAGCAGTGTCCCACAATTTGGATTGAAGTGACCAAATAATAATTTGTTTGGAGGGATTATTATCCCCGGAAAAGCGATCCGCCAATCGACTAACAACCAGGTTCCCACTCCTGCTAGATAAACAGACAAGTGTGGAGTAAGGAAACTTGCCCAACATTTTGCTCTGCTGGGAATCGAACCCAGGTCTCTCGGTTGTGAGGCGAATTTGTTTCTATATATATATATATTATAATAGTTTGTGTGTATCATAGGTGAGCCAAATCAATGTGAACGTGTACATCGTTTCGGCCACAAAATATACAGTCAATTCACTTTACAGTAATTCTGTGAAGTGCTTTGAGACGTCTCAAAGACGTGATAAGTGCTATATCAAATGCAAGGATTATTATTATTATTACACACTTTTCCACAGATGTCAGTGAACACTGAGAGCATGGCACTGGCTGATTTTTTTTTCTCCTCACCCCCCACCCCGTCCCCCACCACCTCTCCCATCTCCACAAATGCTGAGGCCAATTGTCGCAGCTTGATTGCTGCTCTGGCTGAGATCCAAGCTTTGAGCTCGCTTCCCCCACATGAAGGGATAACAAGTGGTGATGGTTGTTGTTGAGAGAGGATATCAAAAAAAGGTGGTCCCTTGTCTCTGTAGCTCTGACTAGTGCCTTTCCCAAATGAGCCAGCGTGGGAAAGCCCTCTGTGTACTTTAATATAATGCCTCTATATGTTTTAACTCGGTATTACTCATTGCACCATCTGTTGTGTCGCTTTTCTGCTCCTTTCTTGCCTGAAGGCCCTGACTTTAGAAGTCGTTATAGTTGCAAGAGGTGAAGAGCGACAGCATGAAAAGCGCGGTGTGAAGTTTAACACAGGCTCTGGATTTTTACGAGACGAGCAGAGAGAGAGAGAGAAAGAGAGTCTAGTCACTGCTAAGCTGCTTTGCTTGTGGGTGGACTGGACTGCAGCTGCGTGTTTTTGCCAAGCCTGTGGCTTCGCACCCTTCCCCCACAGTCCCGACAGCTCACACAGTAAAGCATTGAGACTCCGTAGCTCTGCTTATCGTATTGCTCTCGCCGCGAGACTGGAGGCCGGACAAACTAGATTAGAAGCACCTCGGTGGGTGGCTGATCATTTAAATAGAAGTCGTTGTTTTAAAATACTCCAGTTATCATTCCGATAACAAACCTCTCTCCCTTTTCTGCAGTCGTTTTGTTTTGCCCAGAGAGCTGTGACGGCCTGGAACGCCAGGCCTGAAAGAGCTGGTGGAAACGGATTCAATAGCAACTTTCAAAAGGGAATTGGATAGATATTTGAAAAGGACAAAACTCGCAAGGACATGAGGAGAGCGCGGAGGAATTAGGGTTAGAGCTAGGACTGATTGGGTAGCTCTTCTCAAAGAGCTGGCACAGGCACGATGGGCTGAATGGCCTCCTTCTGTGCTGTAGGATTCTATGATTCCATAAACGTCCGAGGTTTAGAGCGAAGGAACTGTGCGCTCACTCACTGCCTCTCGAGGGCTTTCCATGCTACAGTAATCTGTACAAACACAGGCAGCGAGCTAACCACAGATCTGATTTCAGAGACTCTCTATTCCCCACCCAAAAGCTTTGGTTGAAACACAATACAATTCAGATCCAATACTCCGCAGCTAGGAAGTCAGTCTCAAGTAGTTGGTGTCCAGAAGAATAATGTTTGGTTTTCAAAAAAGGAAACCAACTTCCTGTGAGAATGGAAAGCGAGTGAGGTGAAGTGGCTGTTTCCCCCCCCCCCCCCACCCCTGCTAGAGAGGGAGCGAGAGAGAATACTTTTACTTGTGTAATATCTAAGCTTTGTTGCACTTTAATTCTTGAGAGCCGGAGAGTTCTAGGTATACAGAGTAGCGGCAGTGATCCAGACAGAGTGCACGGTGACATCTAAAGCGATGGTATCCTAATTTAACCCTGCCCTCTGCGGACTGTGTACATGAGAACGTAAGAATTTGCCAGGCGATAGAACACCAAGGTCCATCCAGTTTGCCTTCCACCATCCTGGCAGTCGCTTGCACATGTCATCATCATTATACCCATTTCACCCACAATATACACGGTCAACTCACTTTACAGTATATCCTGTGAAGCGCTTTGAGACATCTCAAAGAACGTGATAAGGCGTTGTATCAAATGCAAGGATTATTATTATTATAACAATATTATGTAACCCTGACTGGGAAGTTTAGCTCATTGGTCTGTATATCTCTCATTTCCAAATTGAGTTACAGCGGGAGCTTTCACAGTCAATTATTTTGCTTTTGGTCGGTGGGGGTTGGCGGGTGAGGTGGGGGGAGTTTTGTGCTCACCACCGCGAAACATTTCCCTTTTACGGTTGAGCTGAAGAAGGGCGAACGAGCTCAGGGAAGCGTTCTGCATGAAACGTCCTCTTATTTCCCTCGGTAGGGACAGTGAGTTCTGCTGGACAGATTTAGCAGCGGAAAGGGAGTGAGTGAGCTCGAGCGTGCGATGGTTGATATTCCAACGGACAGGGACTCTGGGTGAAAGCTCTCAGCGGGCTGGCAGGCTTCAGCCTGGAGGTTGTCCTCTCTCATCTGTCGCTCACTTGTCCACAGAATAATCGCGGTATTGTTCACTTGCACCACAGACGAGAGAGGCCTGAGGTCATCTTCCTTTGCGATGCGTTTGTCGGTTACAATTCCGACAGCATTTTGGACGGAAAAACCTCCGTCCATCCTTATCGTAAGCAAGCCTTCTGTCACCACTCAGATCGCACGTTCCAACTCGTCACTTTGTACTGAAATATTTGCACACAAATGTAGGAAATCTTACCTCTGCTTTATTTGAACAAAAAGGCAATCGGGAATGTGGGGTCTAAATGTAACTGTGGGCGTGGGAGGAGGTGTGGTATTTTACCCTGTGTGCTTCAGGTCAGTAAATTAATTAATATAAAATAATCCTTGCATTTGATATAGCGCCTTATCACGTCTTCAAGGCGTCTCAAAGCGCTGCACAGGATTGTACTGTAAAGCGGAATGACTGTCTTTTGTGGCCGAAACGCTGGCTCGGGCTGCGTGAGCTCAACGCGACCTCCCCTCCCCACCGTACATGGCATGACTGTGACCGACTTGGGTTCAGCCACCCGACGGTAAAGCCACTTGGGCTCATTGCAGACAAACTCCAGGTTCCACACGGCTTACAGTTAACCACGCAGGAGCCTAGCTCTGATACCCCAGGCTCTCGCTCTGATTCTGGGTTTAGCTGACTCTCCTGTGCAGCATAAACCAGTTCCAAGCTCGCTTGCTGAGAGCTGCCATTGGCTGCCTCGGGGCGGTGGGGGTGGGGGTGGTGGTGGTGGTGGTGGGGGGGGTAGATTGCTGGTGACCTTTTGTCGCTAGATCATGACGTCACTCCACTTCCTGCTGGCTTCAATTATGGAGAAAGCTGAGAGGCTTGTACGTTAGCAGTTCTTTTTTTTTAAGTTGTGCTTTTTTTGCCCCCTCCCCCACTATCTCCCTCCCTCCGTCCCTCCCCTCCCCACCCCCTCCTCCCCCCTATCCCCCCCCCTCCCAACGGGTGGATAAATAAGCAGCGGGTGGAACTACACTTAAAAGGTGGTCAGTGTAAGCTTCCTCGTCCAGTTTAAGCTCTTTAGTCAGAGCTCTCCTGCAGTGCAGGCTGGCCAGTGTGTCGGCCGGCATGTGCACACACACCCGGGCTTGCATTTCTCAGCATGTACTGGAGGAAAGGTTACAGCATTCGGTGCAATGGATCTGCGTAACAAAGTGACTTTGACGCAAGCTGCAGTGTAAACAGTATTTCCTCCAGGCGAGAGTGGAGGGAGGGGGCGCGGAAGGTGTATGTGTGGGTGAGGGGTGGGTGGGAGGGTGGTTGTCGTACCAGACCACCTCGAGAAGTCTCGAAGCGCTTCACAGGATATACTGTAAACTGAATCGACCGTGTAATCTGTGAGCGAAACGCGGCAGCCGATTGCACACAGCAGCGTCCCCACAAACAGTCCTGGATCGAGTGACCAAATTATTATTATTCAAGAAGGAACTCTCTCCCAAGGGGCTGCAACCAGATGTGTATTTTGTGGGCGAAACTTAAAGGGGATTCTGGTGGATCAGGACCCAATGAGGGAAGGCAGCCAAACCACCTCACGTCAGCAGTTAACTGGGGCTGTGCCCGGTTGAGGATGGGAGGCATCAGTGAGCCTTTGAGTTTGGTGATACGGTTGGTTTATGTGGTCATTTCGACCTTCGGGAGCAGATATCTGCAGCATCTAGACATCCTGTCAGCATTCACAGCAAGCCTTGTAAATAACTGTGGCATTGAGATTTCAAACGGTGGAAGTACTGTTGGCATCGAGGGAAAACCTTTTAGTTACTCTAGTACTTTTGGCTTGATAAAGATCGCACAAGCGCTTGCCATCCTTAAATTTTCATACATTTTCCATAAAGTGTATCGCCTTGTTTAGCAAGTGGGTATCGCTGAGAACTCACTCTGATTTCTCTTTCCCTTTACATTGAATAACTATTTCACCGGCCACTAACAATGCCCTGGGATGACGTGTCTCATTTATCCTTTTGCCCCCTTTCCATTCTGGGCCTATTCCAAACTGTGTTGATTAATAGCTATTTGTGGGACATTGCTGTGTGCGAACGAACTTTGGCGATTGCCCCCAAGTACGCAGTCACTACACGTCACAGTGATTCCTGTGAAGCACTTTAAGACCTCCTCCTGACGTGAAATGCGCTATAGCAGATGCCAGGATTACTATCCGGCCGAGTTCAGAACCCGTGGTCCTACTAATGAGATAACTCAAGAGAAAAAGGACTATATAGATCAAGAGTTTTACTTGAAACTCCCTTCTTAAATAAAAGGGGACAAAGCACGAAGATTTAACGTGATGCTTTCTCTATTCATTTCTAACTGGTCGTCTTTCCCTTTTGCCTTGTAGGTGGATCTTTTCCTGACTGCTAGGGAGTGTCCCCGCACTCCCCTCCTGGTTTGGGCGAGCCTGCCTCAGTGAGAGACGAAGCTGGAGTTTTAATGGAGCGAGGAGGACTGTGAGGAGGACTCAAGCTCGTTTGCCTCAGATAGGGACTTGTTCCTCCTTGCTTCACTGTAGCCATTCAGTCATGGCCAGCAAGAGGAAATCCACCACCCCTTGCATGATACCAGCCAAAAACCCGGCCTCGCGCGATGCCGAAACTGATGCCAACGCAGAGTACGACGACCGCGATTCCTCCCCGCAAGAGGAGGAGGTGAAGGCCGGCGAGGAGGCGTTGAACTACAGTGAGGGGTCGGAGCGCGGGGGCTTTGAGTGCAAATACTGTGACTTTGTCGGCCAGGATTATCGCTCGTACACGGTGCACATGGAGTCGGAGCACTCTGACGCCAGCGTGGACCAGCTGTACGTCTGCGTCGAGTGCAACTTCAGCACAAAGAGCCAGGAGTCCCTGACGCTGCACAACACCCTGAGCCACCCCGACGAGACCAACCTCAAGGTCAGCGTCATCAAGCGCAACTGCCAGATGGTGGTGGAGCAGAGCATCTCGGAGACCAAAGGCAGCCTCGACGAGCGGGAGAACGGGGAGGAGGAGGAGGCGGAAACGGGCATGGGCTCACGCTCGGGAACGGGGACGGGAATGGGAACGGGCCCGCCCTCGGAGATCTCCATCAGCAAGACGCCCATCATGAAGATGCTGAAGGCCAAACCGGAAGCCAAGCGCATCACCGTGTCTCACGCCGGGCGGGAGGAGCTGAGCGAGGAGACGGGCTCGGCCGACGACGACGGCAAGAAATCCGAGGCTGCCGAGGCGCTGGAGGACCAGACTGCCAACGGGTTAACCAGCGCCTCCCAGCCCATCAACGGCACCGCCGTGGCAAACCTGCCGGTCATCCAGCAGGCAGCCTCCCGCACCAAGTCGAGCTCCTTACCCAAAGTGATGATCCCACTGAGCAGCATCCCCACCTACAATGCAGCCATGGACTTGAACAGCTTCCTCAACAATTCCTTCAACAAGTTCCCCTACCCCACCAAGGCCGAGCTGTGCTGGCTGACCGTGGTGACCAAGTACCCGGAGGAGCAGCTGAAGATCTGGTTCACGGCCCAGCGGCTGAAGCATGGCATCAGCTGGACCCCGGAGGAGATCGACGACGCCCGCAAGAAGATGTTCAACACCATCATCCAGACCGTCCCGCAGCAGACCCTCACTGTGTTGCCCTCCCACTTCAAGACCTCCAATGGTGGCCAGCAGGTCTTCCAGACCAACTTACCCTGTCAGGTGACCACTCGGGGAGGCAACTTCGTGGTCTCCCAGCCTCGCCTGGTGAAGGGCGTGTCCATGAGCGGTGCCCCCGTTGCCCTCAGTGTGGCCACGAACTCCAAGAATCAAAACATCGCCAAGTTCCACCTGCAAACACTCAGCGATTCCGGCCTGAAACTGGTCAACGCCGGCTCGGTCTTAAGGCCCGCCATGTCGGTCACTTCGACCACCCTCTCCGCCTACATCTCCGACCTGGGCACGTACAAGTACAAAAAGACCAAAGAGCAGTTGGCGGTGCTGAAGGACAGCTTCCAGAGAGCCCAGTTCCCAGAGCACAACGAGGTGGACCGGCTGATGAAACTGACCGGCCTGCGGGGCAAAGAGATCCGCAAGTGGTTCAGCGACCGCAGGTACAACTACAAGAATCTGAAGTGCCACCAGTCCTACGACCCGAGTTGTTTCAACACCACGGTGATCGACTCGGCCCTGGAGGACCTTCCGGCCCCTCACTCCTCGGCCTCGCATCAGCCGCGGAGACAGTGGCAGCATACCACCATCGACTTCACCCCCCCCAAGTTCCGGGGGAAATCGGCCGAGCAGCTCAGCACCCTGGAGCACAGCTTCACCCGAAACACCTTCCCGTCCGAGCAGGAGGTGGACAAGCTGCGGGTGGAAACCAAAATGACCCGGAGGGAGATCGACCTGTGGTTCGCCGAGCGGAGGAAGGTGAAGCCGGAAGAACGAGTGGCTTTCAAGCGGCGCCTGGAGGCAGCGGAGGCCAAGGAGGACGGGGATTCCGGGGAGGAGGAGGACGACTCGGACGGAGAGGGCACGCCAAGCGACAGCAGTTCCGTGGACATCAAAAGCATCCGCCGGCCTCCGGACCAGCTCAAGGTCAGCCCCTTGAAGATCTGCCTGAAACGCGGCAACAATATGTGCGTCCAGCCCAAGATGAGCCAAGCCAACAAGACATCAGCCTCTCGGGCCAACGCGCTGACCGGGTCGCCGATCGGCTCCAAGTACCGAGGGCAAGGCAAGAAGACCACCCGCCAGCTCCACCTGATGAAGCTGCTGTTCGTGCGCACGCACTGGCCAACCGTCAAGGAATACGACGAGCTGGCCATCAAGACGGGTCTGGCCAGGACCGAGGTGGTCCGCTGGTTCGGAGACGCGAGGTACGGGTACAAAAACGGTCAGCTCAAGTGGTACGACGATTACGCCAAAGGCATGTACTCGCTGCGCTCCAGCTACAACAATACCACGGGCGACGTGTCGACGGGTAGCCACCCAGGCCGGCACTCGATGTTCAAGAAGAGCGGGAAGAGCGTCCTCCTGGAATACTACGGTCAGCACAAGCTGCTGCACGAGGAGGACCTGGACGGGCTGTGCGAGAAATCGCGAATGAGCTACGAGCAGGTCAGAGACTGGTTCGCGGAGAAACAAACCGAGGATGCCATCAACATGTCGGACTTCAGCAACGAAGATCAGAACTCGGCCAACGGGGAGAGCGAGCGGATGGATGCGTACAAGGGACGGGCCGGTCAAGCCTTCGGGATGGAAGATGTCTTCTCGGACGTGACGGACAACAGCGACACTTGGGACATCCGGTCACGCGACGGAAACATAGAACTGAATGAGTTTGATGCTGAGAATGTTTCTGGTGAGGCCTGAGAGGCTCGGTGGGGATTCCACAGGGTTTAAGGGTTAGAGATAGTAAATCGCACCTGGGTGGACACAGATGATTCTTGCGTACAAACTGACAGTGTCATTTAGAGGAGGAAGGAAAGACCCGAGTCTGAAAGACACTTTTTTGCAAAGATTTTTTTTCTCTCTTCTCTCCCCAATTTTTTTTCACAAAAGCCTGACACGTTGAGTTAGACTGTGCACCTTTATTCCCCAGGGTTTAAATCCAGCACAGACTGAGCTTTTAAAAGTCTCTCCTCTCTCTCTCTCTCTCTCTGTTGCCTGTAAAATGAGTTTGTGGCCCTGCTGATTAATTGGGTTTGGTACTGAGTAATGCAGATCACTCTGATTCTGTGCCTCCTCTGTCCCTTTAGTAAATCTCAGTCTCTTGATCTGAGGAAGGGTTACGTACCTTATTAAGCACGCTTTCGGTCATCTTTCCCCTTCTTCCCTCCCACCCCCCACCCACCCCCTTCGCTCCCACCCATACCTCACACGCCCACAAAATACACAGTCGCTACACCTTACAGTCTATCCTGTGAAGCACTTTGAGGCGTCTCAGCGAAGTGATAAGGCACTGTATCAAATGCCAGGAGTGTTATTTTTATTTATTATGGTCATCCAGCATTGTAAAAACGCTTTGAGACATCTTCCGGATGCAAAAGGTGCAACATCCATGTAAATTGTGTTGTGTGCATGTATAACCCACACATTACAATGTCCGACACGTGTTGAGCGTGTACAATGGTCATGTGGAGGAGCCACGGGAGGATTGTTACCACCAGAGGAAGGCTCGTGGGGACCCAGTTGAGCGACGGTTGTTCTCAGTGTGTCAAAGCTCTTCGCAGCCAATTGCTGTGAAACATAGCGACCATTTGGAGGCGAATGCAGCAGCCATTTTGAATACAGAGAGGCCCTCTAATCAGCCGTAAATTAGTAGCCAATTTATCCCGAGCACTACTGTCCAGGAGACCGGGAGAATCACTCGTATCGTGTAGTGCAGGGGGAATCTATTAACATTCATTCACCCGATTGGGTAGGAAGGACGTTAGTGTTTAACAACTCATCTGATGAACAGTACTTCCAACAATGCTGCTCTCCCTCCACTCCTGTTAACTGCACTGGAGTTGATGGGGAGTGGAGTCAGCCTTGACTATGAGCTCAAATCCTGATATGGGGGCTTTAAACCTCACCTTTCTGAGACGGAAGTTTTCTCTTGGGTTAGTTAGAAACACAGCAAGTAGATTTGCACCTTAAGCACCATCTCATTAACAGAAACGCACTGCAGAAGCGATTAGAGATTACTGATCGTAGTGTGTGAGAGAGCCTCTGTGTAGGATCTCCTCTGTTGGACTTTGAGTCCTCATTTGAGTCGATCCAAATGCCCTGTTTTCCAGGCCTGTGTTTGACCTCATTCGTTGAGTGCTTGGTGCATTGTCTCTCACGTTGTCTCTTTCGTTCCCCTCTTGTTTTTCAGAAGCAGAATGATGGCAAATGGGCAGCTTATAACACAGCAAAGGAATGAAACTCCGGTTTATATCCCGCAGAAGAAAGCAACCGACTATTCTAGGCCGCCACAGCCTTTTTAGCTGCTGCCTCTGACCAGGTGCCGGGCTGGGCTGGAACAAAGGACTGCAGCCTTGGGTTCAAATTCTCTCGTGTTGTGTGTGAGTGTGTGTGTCTGTGAGTGCGCAAGCGTGTGTGCGTGCGTGTGTGTGTTCCTGGCACCGTTTTTTTTTACATAGACTGTGACGTTGACGGGGAGGATGAGGGATGCTGAGATTTTACTTTCCCTCAAAGTGCCAGGGAATGGATACCTTCTGTTGAAGAAGCTTTGTGTAAATAATACAGGACGAAGGAGAGCGAGATACGAATGTCGGGCAGATCCGAATCCAGATGATGGCGATGATGGTGGTGATGAAAATGATGAATGAGAAAAACAAAATAAAGCTACTTACACAGTCTCGCCAAGCGCAACCCAGTGAAAGGGGTTCAGAGAAACAAACCCCCTCTTTACACAAAGATCAAATGCTTCTCTTGAGTTTCGGTCCAGAGGCTTTTGTTTTTAATTTCCCATCTGTGCTTCAGGTGGCACATTGTTTACATGGAAAGAAGGAAATAGATGAAGGACTCACTTCCGTTTGATCATGAACACCGTTTGATGTCTGCGTGTGTCACGAGGAGACATTGGAACACTCTCATCTTCGAAGAGAAGAACTGGCGAGCGTTTCTGGCTGGGAGAAGAGGGGCACCTTGATCCAGATGCGCTAGCCGAGTATAATTCAACTGCAACTCGTGGTGGGTGTGGGGTGGGGGAGGGGGGGAGGGCAGAGAAAGTAGAGGAGGTGAATTCAGATGGATTTCTGGAGTCGAGTGTTGATTCTATGGGGACAGTTTTATCAATCGAAAAGGTATTTACGGAAATTAAACCAAAAGAGGAATTGCAAAGCTACTGTACATGGAGAAGGACTCTTATCGGGTTGTCCAGCGATTTCATCATGAAAGAGGTAAAGGGGTTTGGTCAATTGTTGTATCAATTCAGGTCCTAGGTCCATGATTGTCAGAATAGAAAATGTCAAGGAAATATGCAGGGCAAAAGGTACTTTTTTAATATATATTGTGTGTGTAATGTATATATCATATATATATATAATGAAAACAAGTTATCTTTGTCACATGAAAACCCCGATAATGTATAGTAAACTCCTGATAACTCGACCCTGATTTAACTTGTCGCTACCACTTAAGTCATCATGCTGTCAATAACCCCTCCGCATTTATTAATGTATTTATACATATGTCTGAATCACCCCTCCAGGTAACTCGTCACTGAGCCCTTGTTCCCTTTTAGTGACGAGTTATCAGCAGTTTACTGTAATTACTGTCTCCCCCTCCCCGTGGGGCTGGTTCAAAGTGGAAGGCTTGAAAGAGAAGGTCCACATGAGGGAATAATTTGTAAATGAGACTAGAAATGGAAACTGGAATACCTGTAGCCATCAAACGTTAGAGCCCTATTGCTGCTTACTATAGTCACTGCAATATTCAACATTTATCAAAAAAAACCCCACTTCTGTTTTTCTCTCTCATAATTCCCTCACATAGTGGTTTCTCCAGTTTAGTGCAATTGCTAAAACTAGTATGTTTGAGTAGATTAGCCTGTGCCTAAACAGGCGGGTCATTTATTTCTGTTGCATTTTCCTCTCTCTGGGATTTGGAATGACGTGTTGAACTAATCCTGTACCAACACAGTCCTCTGTCTCTCTCTCTCTCTCTCTCTGCCCATACCAGGGGGCTGAGGACCATTGTTAATCCTGTGACTCTTGTTCCTTAAACAGTGGGTGATCTCTCACGGAAGGTTGTTTTTTTTTCTTTATAAGTAAGGAAGGCTGAAAAGAATTGAATCATGCGTTATTCTGTCTGTCTGCTCTGTGGTGGGTTGGGTTTGTAAACCTGCCACAGCTTACTGAATGGAGGTAGCCTCGTTTTCTTACCGTTTATTTTTTTATATATATATATATATATATATGTAGCGTTTTTCCAGTGAATCTTGGAACAAATCGACCGTGGTTCTCTTCAGGCCAAGTGGACGGACCACTGGACATGAGAGCGAGTTTGCTCTGCTGCCTGCTGTTGCCCTGTTCGCCATTTAAATGTGACCAGGTTCACAATAGATACAAAGGGGGTTAGGGTGGGGTGGCGGTGGGTGGGGGGTGGTGGAAAAACACAGGGCAGCAAGACAGTTGGGGTTTTCCTGTGAGATAAACGCGTACTGCATTAGGAATCACTACCATGTGTATCTTAGTGAATACACAGGACACCAGGGCAGTTGCACTGCCACACAGCAATGGGAGCAGCGATCCATTGGGTCATTACTGTACTCTCGAGTACCTACCGTAGCAGATACACAGCACTTCAGAAAGAGGCAGTGGGGCCACATGGGCCAATTCTGCATGAGATATTAGGTACGTTTTTGGAGTGCGTGTTGGGGGTGGTGGGGTTTGGGGTGGGTGGGTGGGGGGGGGGGTGGGAAACGGGGGCTCCTTTCAAATGATAGACAGACAGTAAAAGGGCTTTAATATTTTGTAGGTTTGGATGGGGTTAGCTTTAGTTGGTACAAAATGTGCGGGTTAACCCTTTGAGCTCTTCGTCCCTAGTGGCCGAGGCAGGAAATCGCACCCCAGCAAAAACCAATCCAACTCATCTGAAGTCCTGTTCTCACAGAGGTCGTTGAACCCTATTTTTTCTTTAAAAAATACTAAAACGAACCGGTGGAACCTCCTCACGTCGGACTTTTTGCACACAGTTACTTTAGTGGGTCCTTTACCACAATTTTTTTGTTTCTTCTCTCTTTCGGAATAACCTCGCATTCGGACTAAATTATTTGGGAGTTAAATAATCCTGGGATAAAGCAGACGTTTGTTTCCTAGGAAGCTGCTAAGCAATGGCATGGAGTAGGCCACAGTCTTGCTGCTCGCTGACCATAAACCGAGGCTAAAGACCTCATTATAAACGCAGAAACCAGCGACATTGATCAGTAATGATTGCCTTCTGGGTGGACTTTGATCGACGGTTGACTTGTTAGAGTGCATCATCCCAACAGAACAGCCATGTTAGCATGTTTTATATTACTAGTTACCTTGATTTACTAAATTGAGAACAAAATGAATGCTAAATTATTTGATTAAAATTTTCAAATAAACAACAGACTCGCCCATTTCTTAACGCTTGTGTTTAAATGCCTCTGAACTCATTCACCTGGCACCAAGCCATGAATGTTTCGGAGGTTGTTGAGTCCCAAAGGGGCAGCTGGGAAGAGGGAATGAATCCGTCTGTGGATACTCCAGCTGGACTAGGATGTGTTGCAGGGTGTGATGACACTCTGAACCGATGGCACCTTTTCTCTTGCTGAAATGGGAACCTGTTCTGAAATAGTTGACCTGGCACCATTGCCCTCTGTAGCCAGTGATCCGAGAATGTTCTATCCACACACTCAGCAGACCCTGGGAACAAAATGCTGGCTTCTCCGAGAAGGTTGGAAGTAATGAATTGGCTGCAGCTTTGCTGGAGGCAACTTCACTGGTGGGCTGCCGATGGGCCGAATGGAGCAGAAAATGCCATCAAGTAGCTGCCAGCCATTTTCAGGTTCATTTGGCACTCGGCGCCTCGGGAAGTCCTGCCCACGTGGAAGGTGCTTGTGTATATCTTGTGGTCGTTCGACTGCACGGTGGAGACGTTGGACAAGGAGCAGGAAGCTTGTGCAAGTGTTGTCACCTGTAAGGGAACCTCATCCCACGCAAGTAAACCCTTAACCCAAAGAATGGGACCGATTTAAATGGTGATCATTTTGTTTATAAGAAAAAGTATCTCTCATTCTGTAAGTACGGCCTCAGGCTTTGTGTGGTTTATGCCGCTGCTGTTTCTGATCCGCGACAAGCCTCATAACGTGTATTTCAGTTTCCTTCATGTTTTACACCATCTTGACACATTGATGTGCAAATTGGGTGTTTGTGGGGAGTGAGTGGAGATAGAGTACCATTATTTAGATAAAATGTGACTAAATTATGGACACTGATAAGGGTCCTAATGGCTATGAGATTCTCTGTCTCTCCCTTCCCCAACTCCCCACGATAGCTTGCCTACAGATGTACCTTGAATAATAAGTCCTATAAGTATATCTCATAAAGCATTGTGGGTTTCAGGTGCAGTTTTATGTTAAGTTTGTCAGAAACGTCTGTCCTATGGTATCTGACACATCCACACTTTGGGAGATATATCATTTATGGTCAGAATACGAAGAGGCAACACCTTGAGTCCATATTAAAGGGGGAAGTGGATAGCTAACTGGTCTTCTGGGAAAATGTGCAATATCATGATTCGACCGCCTAGTTTGCCAACCAATAAAAACACAATGGTCACACAGTATAGCTCCCCTCCCAATCACTGTGATATAACAGGGCAGGGAGATTAAGTGGATTTTCAGTTTATAAACTGTTTATATTTCTGCAAAAGGTGAAAACTAGTATATAAAAAGCAGCAGCTGCAGGGAGGAGCTCATCTAATTGGTTCCACAGGCAGGAGTTGGAAAGGGTTGCGTTATTTCCTCCTTTTTTAGTTTGAATTATTTTTCTGCGCCAACAATTTCTTTCTTTTCTCCCCTCTCCCTTGCTTCCGAATCCCCTATTGAGTCCTCTTTCCTGTTCCAGTACCATGTTCTTTCTTGCCTTCATCTTCGAGGGGAGAGCTCTGTGCTCCCAGCCAACTGCTAACATCTGAGAGCACTTAATGTGGAAATGAGAGGACAATGGGAGAGCGCGGGGAGAGAACGCAAGCACCCATCTGGGCAGTTGGATCCGTGGATTGTACGCTGCTGTTCTGGCACTGCTTTCTTGTGGCACTCGCTTTGAAATGAACCTCCAGTTGCTTTCCAGTGTTAAATGTCCTCCGAATCCCCCCATTCCACCCAAACCCCCATCAAAACCAATTTTCAGCAAAAAACAATTCATTCCCGTGGCACTTGTGCAAAAGGATTGAAATTTTGATGAAATATACGAATGCCGGAGCGTCCAGAGGGGAAAATTTAATGGGCAGTTTTGTTGTAGCATCTTTCACGTCGGGATGACGTCTCAGAGTGCTTCCTAGGATTTACTGTAAAGTGTAGTATCTATGTTTTGTAGGCCAATAAATAAAAGTTTTGTATCTTCCAACACTCCGTGCGTTCTCCAACCAAGGTAATGTTGGGTTTGTGAACTCTTAAAAGAGTCTCTACACAGGTTCCGTTCTATAATCAGCAAGCCGAGGGTGGATGAAGGTTACTAGCAGTAACTTGTCCTCGGTCTATAAACCCTTCAAATAAGATTAGCGACCTTCACAGGTTTGTGGTGTGATTGCAACACAAGCAAATCTCAAACCAAATGAAGTGCACAAGACAGCATGATGATACATCACAAACATGTATTTAATAAACAAGGTCTAATATGCCTCAATGGTAAAGCATCCTCTTTATATTACATTATACTAGCACAGGCACATGTATAATAGCTGGGGTGATCTGTTTATTTGGTGGGGGGGGGGGGGGGCGGAGTAAGAACTATTCTCTCACAATTCTGTAAGCAATCAACTCACGAATGACTTCCCAACAGAAAATAAATTCCAACGATGTTACACTCTCGGCAGGTTCCAGTCTCTGTGTGGTGATGGACTTTTTTTTTGGTCTTAAAACCTTTTTTTCCCTCTCTCTTTTGGCAATGCATTAAAAAAAACGGAACTAACTGGCATTTACCGGGTTGGGGGAGAGGGGGGGAGGGAAGGGAGTTAGAATGCGGTTTCCCATGGATACGAGGTTTGGGAGTTGCATCGGAGAGGCTCCCAGAAATAGGCCAGAGCAGCAGTTTCCATAGAAACCAAATCGCAGCAGTCCGTGTCTCTAGAACTGACAAGGGCGTCCGTCTGTCCATGCTGTCCATGCTGGCGGGGTTTCATCTGTTGTCCCCACTTATCCTGGTCCTTCTTAATAACCTGTCGGATCGAAGGAGCGAGAGAGAGAAAAAAATAACAGTTCAGTTTACGGTGAAGCCTGCAAACGAGGAAACGTCCTAAACCACCCCACGCACTGTCACCACGAGCCGCTGTATTCCTCGTGTTGCTCATCACGTCTAACCTCGATCATCGTCATCACAATGATAATCATCCTTGCGTTTGGTACAGCGCCATCTCACGTTTGTCGAGACGTCTCAAAGCGCTTCACAGGACACACTGTAAAATGAATCGACTGCGTAGTTTGCTAGTGAAATGCGGCAGCCAACTGTAAATATAACTTACAAATAAGCAATTAGCACTAAGATATAAATAAAAGGCTCCAGGAGTACAATCCCTGCTAAAATTAATTGTGCGTGCGCGTGTGTGGGGAGGGGGGGGCATAAAACTCAACCAGCTCTAGAACAGGGTGGAGGCATCACAAGACATCATTGCTTCTAAGGTCAGTTCAAAGTGAAGTGCTTTTCTATGGGGCTTATACTGTCTATAAACGCAAGTCGTTCCATCAATCATGCTTCTCCTCACCACAGGCCATTTTCAGCTGCAATCAATGGGGTTTTTTTTTTAGTACGCCACTAATAATAATAATAATAATTTGGTCACTCAATCCACAGCGGTTTGTGGGACACTGCTGTGTGCAATTCTCTACCGCGTTTCACCCACGAGGCACCCAGTCACTACACTTCACAGTATATTCTGTAAAGCACTTTGAGACGCCGTGAAGACGGGATAAGGCGCTGCGTCAAATGCAAGGATTATGTCATCAATTATGTTTTTCAGTTCTCCACTAATAACCCCAGCAATTTTTTTTAACAGCAGCTGATCGATTTTACCTCCTATCCCGGGAGTCGGCAGGTTCCAGAGGCTGCTCCTGAAGCCCACGGAGTTCCTCCTGTTGGTATCGGGAATCGAAAGAGCCCTCCCTGCCCCTGTAGGCCAGCAGCTGGCTGGAGAGCTCGCTCGAGCGCTCCTGCTGAGACGGATTTGAGGCGCACAGAACAGAGTCACCGTTCTCCTGTGGGAGAAAGAAGCACGTTCAGCTTTCATTGAGTGAGAGAGAGAGAGAGAGAGAAAAAGACTGGAGACACATTGTTAAACCCCCCACCCTCTCCCCCCCCCCCACCGCCCCATTATGCTCTCCGTACAGAGCTCCGCTCCCCACCCCACTGCCTTCACCTTTATCAGAGACTCCATCACCACCAAATGAATCAACAAGGCTGCTAGTTCCAGGTCCTCGCTGTAGCTGTTCTTCAAAGGCACGGATCTGTAACCTGAACACAAGAGAGGCAGGTCAGGACTATAAGGGAGAAGAGGCCATAAGACAACACCAGAGGGACAGGCTCTGAGAGGCAACACAGGGAGCTGCAGGGTCTGAAGGTAGCAATGTTGACTACGAATGGGGAGAAAAATCTCATCAGGCACCCCATCACACCCCGCATTGGCAGAATCACTTGGTGGGTGTTCAAAAGGGAGATGGAATAAACTCCTGGTTTTAAGGGTATCCAGGGATATGGAGCAAAGACCAAAACGATGGGATTAAAAAAAAATCATACGGGTTGTTTGGCAGCATAGGCTTGATGGCCCTTCCTGTCTCTATGTGTCTTGTGGAAACCTGAAAGAGAGAGGGAGACACACACACACACAAAGGTACATTGGTAATCAAGGCTGGAGAAGTGAGGTGAAGTTGGCAACTCCCGTACCTGTTCTGATGGCTTTGACAGGAAGCGTTGCTTCTGCTAGGAAGTTGGGATCACTAAACACGTCCTCCTCATAAACCACAAACCGCAGGAAGCAGAACTCGGGGTTGCTGAGGTTTATAGAGAACGGCTTGGACATCCACGTGGGGTTTAGGCCATTATCCGCTGAATGAAAAAGAGGAAAGGTTAACACTTTTTTATATAACAATATTTTAATAATCCTTGCATTTGATACAGCGCCTTATCATGTCTTCGAGACGTCTCGAGAAGCGCTTCACGGAATATACTGCAAAGTGAATTTACAGTATGTTTTGTGGGTGAAACGCAGCAGCTAATTGTGGCAGCGAATTGTGTTTTGCACTGGGGGGGTACGGGAAAGGGGAAAGTCTTAGAAGACGGGAGAGATCCTTGATGATACACTGTCATTCATTCGGTCAATGTAAAAACACCTGTCCCAAACTTTCCTTTTCTTTCATCCGCTTCCAGCCTTTACCCTCCACTCAAAGATTTAAATATCTCTCCCCTTCCTGATTTAATACCTCAATCAAGTCTACATTCACTGTGTCATCTAGCCTCTGTGTCATAAGCTTTACAAGGAGTTAGGTGCTGGGAACTGTTTATTCAATGCAGGCGATTCTGCATGGAATGAGTTCAGACTACAGTGCAATAATAATAACAATCCTTGCATTTGATTATAGCTCCTTATCGCCGGGACATCTCAAAGTGTTTCCTAGGATTTTATTGTGAAATGTAGTGACTTTAACTGTAGCCAAAGATCCTTCTTGATCAAAGCTGATCTTGTGATTTCCCTTACCAACGATTTCACTCTTGTACTTGACATTGTCATAGTCCGCTCCGCAGACCTCGATCTCCACGAAGGGACAGGTGATGCCTCTCCCGTTTTTGGGCAGGTGTCGAGCACCCAGCACCTGGTTTGATTAAAGAGACGTTAGAAACAGTCTGAGCTCAGAGTGAACTTTCAAAGACAAACACTTTGGCGACTCTGAATGGTTCAAACACTCAAAGCCCGGTCTGTGCTGAGTTAGCTGATGAGAATACTGCTCAAAGGTCCATCCGCGCCTGTGTGTACAGGGCAGAGGGATAGGATCTGAGATTGCAGGCTTCCTGATCTACTCTCTGTGCCCTCGTTATTCGCCGTCATTCCCTATGAAGAAATCAGCTCTCTGCACAATCCCAAGAAATTGAGGTGATTGAACCATCACAGCCTCACAGACAGACTGGCAGACACAGACAGAGGCAGCTTTGTGGCAACTCGGGTGCCTTTTATGACAAAAAGGTAAGCAGGCATGACTGACCTGGAGCTGGATATTGAACGAGTCTGCGGGCCTCAGGGAATTCTTGTCAAACGGATCGAACTGCTCGTTTCTCATGATGTCCGGCTGCAGAACGTACCCACACTTCCCATTCATCATGAACAAGGACTGATTCATCTGCATGGGTTTGTCTAGAGGAGCAGACAGACCAGACAGGACATTCAAGACTCTTTGTACTACACAATGTACCAGGCCACTGGCCCAGGAAGCTGGCAGGAGGGAACACTGGAGCTTCACGTACCCATGGGTGGTTCTGCAGTAAAGAATGAAGTTCACCACTGTTTACCAGCCCAAGTGAACATAAGAACGTAAGAATTTGCTGGCGAAAGTCCATCTAGTTTGCCATCCACCATCCTGGCAGCTGCTAGACAAGTCGTGTCCCAAACTATACCGTGTATCTCCCCCACTCCTCCCACTGCCCCCCCCAGATATTATTATCTTGCAGAAATCTAGGGAGCCTGTTTACCACTCGCTCACTGTTAAGTAGCGTTTCCGCAGATTTCTTCTGAATTTAATCACAGGCCCTGGATTGGGTACTGGAGTCACTCTGGAGCGAGTGCGTGTTCCCGGAGTGACCCTGGAACAAGCGGGTGGAGGGAAGAGTAGGAGTAAAAGACAACCTAAAGGTTACCTGCAGTCTGAAAGTTTAGTGCCACCAACTGGCTCCCGCAGATCCACATGGGCAGAGGGTCATAGTTGGACGAATCGAGACGTTGGCCCTTTGGGTAGATACGGCTCAGCTGTAGCCGGTTGTACTGCAGGAACTTCTTCCCTTTGATCCTGTTCACATATTTCTCGGCTTTGGTTTCCGGGAAGGACGACATGTCCCTATAGCAGGCCCGTTCACTCCCGATCTCTGCAGCACCAGGGGGAGAAAAGATCATCACCACATCCCATCGGGGTAAAATACCCATTACACCCGTCCATCCCCGTCCAGCTCAACTTTACTTTGAAGTGCGCGTATGTGTGCGTGTTAAATGTGCGGTTGTGATTCATATCTTTTTCCCCTTTGCATAGACATGGAACGTGCCTAATTTTCCGTACTCCCGTTTGAAAGAAAAAAGTAATGTATCAGCGGGTTCTAATTTGCAGGATTGGACGACCCAAGGCGCTGGGGACAGCGAAGGCTTTGCACCCGAAGCCCGGGGGTTGGAGTTCAGAGGGTTGGAGGCCAGGGGAGCGGAGCTGGGAGGATGACCGAAGGCGGGGTCAAAGAGAAAGAGTCCTGAGACAGGTCTTGAAGGAGGCAAGCGAGGGGGGTGAGGCAGAGGAGTTCTGACGGGCACATGGCGGGGGGTGGTGCAGGTGAAGACAAACGTCGCTTACTTTCTTCATCGAAGGGGACAGGCCTGCAGTACACGACCAGGTCTGACAGCTCCAGGGCGATCTTCTTCCTGCGTTCCATTATTTTCCCTTCTTCTTTCTGAGGAAGAAATAAAGCCTTTTGTTTTTCTTCTTCTTCTTCTTCTTGCCGCAGTATCAAACGTTAAGGATTATCGTTGTTATTACGTCCTGTTTGACCGGCCAAGAAACCCGCGGCACTCCTGGCCGCCCCACACACCACACCACACCACAGGTGATGGAGGCTTTACCTACCCTGGCGTCTGCTGTCTGCGCCGCGTTACGTATTTTGGTCACCCAGTCGTTCAGTTCTTCCTGCGATTCTGCCGCCAGGTCCATGGACCCTCCGTGCCGGGAGTACGGGCCCATGTTTATCTTGAAGACGTACGGCCGGCTGCCTTTCCCCTCCGGATGCACAGCTGGAACAGCAGAGGGTAAGATTGTGGCTCATCTGTGACTCAACTCCCATTTGCCCCGTATCCCTGGACACCCCGACCTCACAGATAACTCGGGGTGGGGCTACCGTCAGTTCTTCCAACGCAATAGCATTAGTAAAGGGATGAGACTCCACACTAATCACAAAGGGGGCAAACCCACCTCACACAAGGGAATGGGGGGCCGGGGAGGGGGGGAATGGTGCACATATACATCACCTCTACAACCAGGTAGATATTTGTCAGGTCAGGGTATCGAGGGTTGCGAGGCAAAGGCGGGTAATTGAAGTTGAGGTACAGATCAGCCATGATCTTATAGAATGGCGGAACAGACTGGAGGAGCTAAATGGCCTCGTCCTGTTCTCACCTTTCTATGGTTTCGTTATCGGCGACATGCGGGAGCGAGGGCAAGGGACACTTGAGGAACTCACCAATCTGACAGGAAGGTACGTCCAGGACTCCGCCCAGGAGATCTCCGAGCGGGCTGTTTTCAGCGAGAGGCTGCAGGTGGAGGGAGGTAAGCACAGCGAGAGTGAGACCACTCCCCCACCAAGTCAAACCGCCGCTACCCAAAGCCCCCACAAGCTCAAGCTGCCGGAAAACGCTTCCAGCAGCCACGGAAGATTATCCGAGAGTTTTGACTCAAAAAAGTTGTTTTTTGTTTACACACACACACAAATTCAGTCAATCCTTCAGGGCGCAAATGCTTAAACTTTTATCTAATTCTTGTCTTATGGGTTTATTTAAAGTTTAGTAATAATAGCTTCAATTAAAAAAAAATGTGGTCACTCATTCCACGACTGTGACTGTGTGTGTGTGTGTATGTGTGTGTGGATACTCCTTTTAGATCATACAGAGGGCAATAGGTTTCTCAAAGCGTCTTATTGTTTGATTTCAGGAATGACTTGGCTTACTGGTCGCTCGGGTTCCGAGGTACTCGGGCTTGTTATCTCCTCCACATAGTTAGCCGGGAACCAGAGCTGTCGCTTGCCTCCATAGTCACCTTTCCACCTGGAGGGAAACGGAAGGGAGATCAGTTAATGATTAAGAGGGGAGAGAGATTTAAAAAAGCGTATAAACTGGAGGACAGACTCGTTAAAGTCTGTACTTCCATCATATTTAGTTAGTGAAGCCTTTGGGCTCTTTTCCTTTCTTTTTTATATAGGGGTTTTGATAGAGTAGGTGGGGAGAAACTGTTTCCACTGGCAGGTGGGGCGGTAACTAAGGGACATAGATTTAAGATAATTGTCAAAAGAGCCAGAGGGGAGAAGAGGAGAATTTTTTTTTACGCACATACACACATGCGCAGAATTGTTACTGTCTGGAATGCACTGCCTGAAAACGCTGGTGGAAACAGATTTGATAATAACTTTAAAAAGGATAGGAATTGGACAGGTACTTGAAAAGGAAAAGATTTGCAAGGATATGGGGTAAGAGCGGGGGAGCGGGACTGATTGAACAGCTTTTCTAAAGAGCTGGCGCAGGCACGATGGGCCGAATGGCCTCCTTCTGTGCTGTAATATAATCTAGGGTTCTCCGCCCTCGCGCCCCACACCCTTACCAGCCCCCGTCCTGCTTGTCAACGTTCTGAATGATGGCGTGCTTGCAGAATGACAGCTCGTCATCCCTCTGCTGTCTGTAGTCGTACATCGCTTTCACCGTGCACTGGAACAAACACCAGGGAGGCAACGTTATACATAACCAGTGGATCATCGCCAATCAACCCATCACCCAGCGATCAGACACTCAGCTGTTAGTGGAAACCCTGTTGGAAGAACTCTTCGGCACGTGACCGCACGCAACCCAGCCTGGCTCGCGCTCGTAGGTCTAACGATATTAATAGTCCTTGCATTTGATACAGCGCCTCATCCAAGCCTTCGAGACGTCTCAAAGCGCTTCACAGGAATATACTGTAAAGTGCTCTGAGTCGTCGAGAAGATATGAAAAGTGCTACATCAAATGCAAGGATTATTATCATGTATATTTTGTGGGCGAAACGCGGAAGCCAATTGCGCACAGCAGCGTCCCACAAATAGCCCTGGATTGAGTGACCGATATTTTTTTGGGGGGGGGGGGGGAGAGAAGGGATTATTACCCCCGGAAAGCGATCAGCCAATCGACTAACAACTGATTCTATGGCGGGGTGGTATTTTTGCGGACACCAACTGCCCCATGTACCCCACGTAGCCTTGTCTTGAGTTGATAGCACCCCCCCACCCCCCCCTGTCAGGTTTAACTCCGGTCCTGTTTACGGTTTCCTTGCGAATGGAATCGTCGAGCTGTTGACACAGGCTCCTTGCGCACGCGGATTTGGAGCGAGCCCTGGATTAGCATTTGCAAAAAAGAAAAAGGGTTGGAATTTCAGGCCTCAACGAGAACTGCTGTGTTGTCATCAGACATCTGGGTGCACGAAGCCCGCCACTTGGTGGAGCTGCCACAGAAAGAGCAGCACGATAACAACTGACGATGTCGTGGAGGACACGGCCGGAGCCAACGGGCAATCAGACGCCCACACAAACGATTTTCACCAGTTACACCAGCGCTGCCTGGTGGTCAGAATGAGCCATCGCCTAAGCACATTGGCGTTGCTGTAGGAAGAGCAAGGGATACAGCAGGTCGAAGCCCAGCTCGGCTCAACAGCTGCTTCTGTAGCACAGTTCTCGTAAAACACGGCAATCCCTGCATGACTGGACTGAATTCTTTCCACCCTGGGGATGTCCACTCGCCCATTTCTCATAATAATCCTTTTTNCATTTGATCCTGGCATTTGACACAGCGCTTTATCGCGTCGTTGAGACGCCTCAAAGCGCTTCACAGGATACACTGTAAAGTGGGTTGACTGCGTGTTTTGTGGGCGAAACGCGACAGCCAATCGCGCATAGCAGCGTCCCCACAAACAGCTGTGGATTGAGCGACCAAATTATTACTATTATTATTAGTGGCGTACTATAAAAACACATTGATTGCAGCTGAGAATGGCCTGTGGTGAGGAGAAGCACGATTGATGAAACAACTTGTGTTTATAGACCGTCTAAGCCCCATAGGAAAGCACTTCATTTTGAAGTGACCTTAGATTTTCGTGGATTGATTTTCTTTACAGGGATTATTACCCGCCGGAAAGGGATCCGCTAATTGATTAACAACCTGGTTCCTACTTACTGCTGGGTAAACAGAGGTGTGTGCGTGTGTGTGGAGTAAGAAAATTTACCTAAGGTCTCACCCCAATTCCTGGAAGAAGAGATGCACTTTACATTTTGAAGTAAGACTGTAATCTCCACTATACTCCTAGGAGGCTTTTGACCGCTCAACCCCACCCCCCCACCCCAACTCCCACCACCCCCACAACACCACCCCACATCCCGTGTCCATGATCCGAACTAAAACACATGACCACATCAGGAGCTCGGGTCTTGAGCAGCCTGAACCACAGATAGTGGGGCTGGAACGGGTAGAAAGTGCGCCTGCAATAACTGACCTTAAACATGGGCATCTGGTTAGCTTCCACGTAGAACCCTGGCTGCCGTCCTTCATAGAGCGCACCATAGTCCGGTTCCTGAAGGAGGAAAACGGGAGAGACAACACGAAACCCTTCACGTTGTGTTCTTCCAGTCAAATCAGTTTACAAAAAATTGCAAGGGTGACTTTACCAAAGGTCAATCAATCTCTGCACACAAGCCCGGCACGGTCTCACAACCAACCACCCAACCCTGAAATATTGTTCTGAGACACTTCAGGAGGAAAAACAAAAACCCACAATCGCTGCGAGTTTAGAATAAAACGGCTTCACCGCGAATGTGAAGGTGAAGACAAATTTGCAGGGCTGTGAGGAGAGAGCGGGGTAGTGCGATTAACATGGACACGATGGGCCGAATAGCCTCCTTCTGTGCTGTATGACTCTATGATTCTCAGGTTGGAGGCTGGGGAAACTTTGGATCCTGTTGGCGCGCACACAATTACAGCAAGGCCTTTGAACAGCGAGAACGCTGGCTGGTTTTCCAGCCTCAACTCCACGCCCAGGCAAATAAGAGATCAATTGTAGCTCCGTTCAGCTGGGGAAACGTAAAGGTCCAGACGAACACACCAAAACTCTAAGCGACACACATTAACCGCAGGCTGCGGACACGAGGGCGATGAAGGGTTAATTCTCGCTGGACAGCAATTAATTTCTCCCCCGCCACACCCCTCCCCCCTTCCCCTCCTCTCACGTACAGCTGTGCCGATCTTTTCCAGCGTCTCCTCGTTGATGGGGTAACGGAGCTTCATCTTCCTGTACAGCGGATGTTTCTCGTGGTAACTGACCAAGTCGACCAGGCTGTCGAACTCCGAGTTGCCCAGGAAGACCAACTGTCCCTCCTGCTGGACACGGCAATGCTTGATCTTCCCCTCAGCTCTGCGAGGAGTGAGGGAGTGAGAGAGGAGGGCAAGAGAGGGAGCGAGAGAGGGGGCGAGAGAGGAGGGCGAGAGGCAGAGATTATAAACACGGCAATTCTTAACAGGGAAACGAGGCGTTGCTGCGGGTTCCCCTCAGGAGGCCTGAAATTCCACCCATCCTTTGCCCATTCCAAGCATTTTGTCTTCAGATTTAAGACTGGGTAGAAATTGTGAAAAATACTTCAATCGTGTCTGAATTTTTTTTTATTTTATCTCTTTAGGAGAACTGTGAAAGCCCAACCGGTTGTTACTCCCCCAACCCCACCACCCGCTGCCTCCGCTCATGGTGGCCCCAAAACCCTGGAACTCTCTCCCTCGATCCCTCCGCCTCGCCCCCTCCCTCCCCACCTTCAAATCCCGCCTAGAGACCTTCCTTTTCGATCGTACTTACGGTCGCATCACCCCCATTCCTTCTCACCCCCCTCCCCCCACTCGCTGGCTCGGGGTCAGACGCCGCCACTGTCAAGCGTGAAGGGCGCGGTGTAAATGCAAGTTGTTGTTGTTGTTGTTGTGATGCCAGTCGTTGTCCCTGAACGTTGACTCACCGGAAAGAGATTGCGTATGAATTGGGTTCGTTTCTCTTTCGAACCAGAAAGGCTCCATCTCGTGGGACCCTCATCAGCATGTTCTCTGCCTGGACCCGGGACAGGTTAGCGTGGTACCACCTGCTCAACGGAAAATTAACATAAAATCTTTGTAAGTTTTCTTTTTCCGCAAAAGAACTAGCCATCCTTTCCTAACGCTCGAGTCCCGCCGTTCAACAAACGGCTTGGCCCGGTTCACTCGATCCAACCCACAACCCCACCCCGCCGTGGGTAGGCGAGCTTTCAGACATTCTGACCCCACTCTCTGCACCCTCCACCTTGCCCCTTAACTGCCCACGCTCCTTAAGATCTGCCTTTTCAGCCTTGCTTTCGGTCACCTTCGGCCACCCTCCTTTGCCCTCATCCAACCTCCAGCTCGGGTCCACATCCCTGACTGTCCGGTCGGTGTCTTGGGACGTCCTCCCGACGTGAAAGGCAGGCGCTGTGTGAATGCCATTTGTTGCAGTGGTTGCTTGTTGTCCACAGGCACTTACTCTTTGCTCTCATGTGCGTTGGTCTGAGGCACTGGCTCGGTCAGTCGCATCTCAAACTCATTGCAGCGCAGGGGGACCTGTTGATAGTGAGTGATCAGGGCGTACAGGCTGTCAAACACCAGGTTGTCCGTTAGGTAGAACTTGGGGGTGCCCGCCTCCTGCCGGGAGTGGATGCGGCAATGCTGCACTTTCCCGGATCTCCTGCGGCGTGGGGGGAAACAACAGGAACGTCAACGACTGTCGCCCCGGTGACAGCAGCGAAACCTTAGGCAAGTTTCCTTACTCCGCACACGCACACCTCTGTTTACCGAGCAGTAAGTAGGAACCCGCCTGTTAGTCCATTAGCGGATCGCTTCCCCCCTCACCCCCCCCCACCCGCCACCTCCCAAAACAATTGGGTCACTCAATCCACGATGGTCTATGGGACAAATTGGCTGTGCGCAATTGGCTGCCGCGTTTCGTGCACGAAAATACACAGTCACTCCCCTTTACGGTGTATCCCGTGAAGCGTTTTGAGACGTCGCAACAACACGGTAAGGCGCCGGATCAAACGCAAGGATAATTATTATTGTTATTATCATTATTGTTATTAATATCGCGCTGCGTCACGACGGCACTTACCAAAATGAGAGCGTGTAATCACCAACGAAGGTTTCGCTCTCTCGCACCAGGAAGGAGCCGTTCGGGGCCCCGGTTTCGATGCAGTATTCCGTTAGCAGCCGCTCCGCTATCTGCCTGCCGTCGCGCCCCGCTCCCAGCTTCCCGTGGAACCACTTCTCTGTCACGTGAAGCTCAGTGCCATTGCAGGGCTTGAACACAAGAGAGCGTTCATTCACATCGTGCGATGATTAAACCACAGCACACGGGTGCGTTTTCTTCACCGTAGCGACACCCCCCCCACCCCCACCCACCCACCCACAGTAACATGTCACAAGCTGCATCCGTCAATCCAGAAAGAACTATGCGTTCGAAGCTGCCTCGCTTGCTATGTTTATTGGTTACGTTTCGTTAAATTCCCGTTTTTGTATCATTACCACACAGACAAAAAACACTCACACATTGTAAGTGTTGCGACGCAGCTCAGCAAAAAAAAAACAACCTCTCCCATTACCATTTGGCTCGCAGGGCACAGAACATCTCTCGCCTACTTCGACCAAAAATCTGCCTGGGATCTACCGCAAACTTATCGAACTTTGTTTGCCACCCGTATCGACTCCGAGCCGGTCCAGGTCCAACGAGACCACACGCCTCCCTCCTACCAAGGGTGTGTTTATTTAGGCACGGCAGCCATGCGTCAACTTCGAAAGGGCAGAGGGTTGAGTTGAATGGAGAAATCAGAATTCGAGCTCGGTATCTCCCACCCGGAGCTTTCTCGGGTATAGGGACCACCAAGGAGTTTGCACTCACTTCGCGCTGTTCTTCCTCATCTTCGTTTGTCTGGTTCCCAGATGTCTCCTCCGAGTAATAGATTTTGCTGCTGGTGAGGACGAAGAAATGTGGATTCCATTCCTAAACACAGGATGAAAATCAGGAGACACTGTCCATGTAAACACACAAGAGGAGAGCGCGACAGTGGGGAAAGCTCATTGATAGAAGGCACAGGCAGACTCATAGAGAACCGCTTGGCGTCGCTTGCAAAATGCACAGTTACCACACTTTACGGTGAATCCCGTGAAGCGTTTTTTAGGGTTGCCCCCTCAGGTGAAAGGCTCCCGTTATCAAATCTTATTGTGATATAGGGTGAATGTATACGATTACGTCGGGTGGGGGTTAAACCTGAGACTCACGTGGTTGATGGGATCCTCCAGGTACAAGATTCCATTTTTTATGGAGTTACTGATGTCGTTTTCGGAGTAGGTGGAGGTCGAGACTTCCTCGTAGGCACTTCCCTCAGCCAGCTTCTTGTGCTGCAGGAAAGGCAATGATACAAGAGGGTAACAGCTACGTAAATAGTATTAAACGGGTCACTCAATCCACGGCTGTTGGTGGGGACACTGCAGTGCGCGACTGGCTGCCGCGTTTCGCCCGCAAAACATACAGCCGGACGGCTTTACAGTATATTTACAGAGCTCTTTGAGATGTTTTGAAATTGGTGAGTCGCGCGAGAGCACCATTGACGTACTCTGGTGATAATTTAGACACAGGTTCTGAAATGGTGGGTGTTGGGAACAATGAAGATGTCCAACGGTAAGGTGGAGTTTGGGCAACTGGTCACCAGGTGTCAGCACTCCAGCCTGAGTCAGTAGGTTGTTGATTCCAGCCCCACATTGGGACTCGTCGAGCTCACGGTCTTGGTTGACACCCCACTGCAGGCTGCTTTTTTTTTTCATCTGCGAAATACAGTCACTACACTTTTTTGACAAAATGATTCACTGTCCAGCCACGGCGCCCAGAAACTTTTGGAACCATCTCCCTCAATCCCTCCGCCTCGCCCGGTTCCATCCCCATTTTCAGATCACGCCTTAAGATCATCCTCTTCGACCGCGTTTACGGTCACCTCCCCCTGGCTTGGCGCCGGGCTCCCCCACTGTTAAGATCTCCGACATGCTACCCCGCGTGAATAGCCCTATATAAATGCAAGTTGTTGTGGTGGTGGTGATAAAGCACTGCATCAAATGCGAGGAATATTATAATTATCATTCAAACAAAGACCAAGTAATGAAGAGGCAACAGACCTTGATCAGGATTTTTCTCCTCAGTTGACTAGGTGATGGGAGCCCATCTGCGGTGATGTCCACAGGCTTTGTCAGCAGCATGTCTGCAAACACCTTCTTGAAGAATCCGGCCATGTTTCTCTGTTGGACAATGCTGCAGTGATCTTCAATGGACAGGATCACAGGATATCTGTCAAAAGCAGAGAACACAATAAATAAGACTCAACACTGGCAGGTTACAGAAAACCCGAGATAAGTCCGACGTCTTTAGGCACCTTCCCTATTCATTCCACTAACAATAATAGTAATTGTGGTCACTCGATCCACAACTGTTTGTGGGACGCTGCTGTGCGCAATTGGCTACCGTGTTTCGTCCACAAAATATACAGTCAGTCACTACACTTTACAACATGTTCTGCGAAGCGCTTTGAGACGTCCCAACGACGTGGTAAGGCGCTATATCAAATGCAAGGATTATTATTGTTTTAAATTATTATTATTCCCAAGACTTCAGCAAATCTGAGCTGCAAGGCAGTTACCAAACACATCCAACTCACTGTCTGGGTTCCCATCAACAACAAATTACATTTGTGTGGCGTCTTTCATGTTGGGAGGACGTCCCAAGGGGCTGAACCACATGTGGTCACAGCCCAGTGGGTGGAAGGTAACTCAGTGGGACCAGCATTGGCCTCAAAAGACCGTGGGAGGAGAGTAAATTGCATGCGTGTGTGAGCGCGTGCGTGAGTGTATGTGTGCACGTGTGTATGTGTGCGCGCGTGTGTGTGTGTGTGTGTGTGCGTGCGCGTGTGTGACTGTGTCGAAAACTGTTAGGATCCAGGGAAAGGAACAGTATTTGTTGGGGATAATCCCTGCTGTTCTGGTGTAGTATGTAAAACCCCAGCGGAAAAGAGTATGCATAACCCCAGATCTAAAATCTCAAAAGAGTGGGTGGGGGGGGGGGGGGGGGGTGTCACAGGAAGGAGCACAGAAGTCCCTGGATAAACACTATACAATGATACTAAGGTGACGATAGCGTTGACACGTTGGGGAGAATGACAGGATTTGTTTTGCCTATTGGGTCCGCTGAGAGGGTTTTGTTACGTGAGTGTGCACAAGTGTGTGGGTGAGAGTGAGTGAGCGTACGAGAGTACAGAGAGGGAGTGGGTGTGAGAGAGAGAGAAAGAGTGGGTGTGAGAGAAAGAGCAACTATCTGAGTGAGTGAGAGAGCGCGCGTGTGTATCGGTGGTGGGAGGGGGGAGGGGGGGGGGGCAGGCGGAAAGAGAAAAAGAGAGAGAGAGGAAAGGAAGTAAAGAACACAGATTCAATCTCTCCACGTGTCTCTGACCCCGATCTCAAGTTACACTGCTTCACAGGGTTAACGAACACAGACTGAATATCTCACCATAGAAGAGAAAGAAGCAGAAACAAAAGGCTTTCATGCCCTCGTGAAACAATAACAACAATAATCATCCTTGCATTTGATATAGCGCCTTATGACGTCTTCATGATGCCTCAAAGCGCTTCACAAAATATACTGTGAAGTGAATTGACTGTATACTATGTGGGCGGAATGAAGAAAAACTGCAAAAGTTCAGAGCGATAAATAAATCTCATCAATCCAGAATAATGCAAATGAATGCCGTGGGGGTGAGAGAGACAGGTGACAGGCTAAGACCTGCAGAAATTCAGACAAGAGATATAACTTACTCTGAAGTCACAAAGGCGTGTTCTTTAATCGTCGTTAGAACATCAGAAAATCTGATCTTTGAAGTCAGAGTGTGTCCGTGGTATATCACCGGCATCCCCTCTGGTCCATCCCAGCAATCCACTGTAACAGACATCAGCATCAACAAACTTCCAGTTAAATTGGCCTATTTATCTCCTGGCTGCTGCGTTTGGCCCACAAACACTCAGTTACTACACTTAGAATCACTTACCGTAAAGTGCCTTTGAGATGTTTTGACATTGCCCACAAATATATAGTCAATTCACTTTACAGTGTGTTCTGTGAAGCGCTTTGGGACGTCCTCCCGACGTGAAAAGCGCTATATCAAATGCAAGGATTATTATTATTATTATTATTGCACCAGTTAGAAGAATTATTTTAATAATACTAATAATAATCCTTGCATTTGATGTAGCCTTACCATGTCTTCGAGACACATCAATGCACTCTGAAGTGAATTGACTGTATATTGTGTGGGCGATATTATCATTATGATTAAAATTGGCGAAGTGACTGTATGCTTAACCCTGATTCAAATGGACAAAGCTATTAGAGACGATTACTGTGCTACACCTGACCTGGGAGCGCTAGACGCTGGCAATGGATGCAAAAAAGTGAACAGTGTTTCATTCTGAGCTTCTCAGCCTCAATCGCCACAAAAATTCAACCACGTAAAAAAATATATATTTACAAAAACACCCGAAACATTCCGTCTCGTTTTTGTGTTAAAAAAAATTTGGGGTTTTGGGAATTTGCACAACCCAATCCTTCTCCCTACAAGTGGGATATTACTCTGCTTTCAGAGTGGGATGGAGTCTGCGTACAGTATTCTGACCTCTGGTCTGCCAACGGCAAAATACATCTCGATCTCACTGAAAGTGAACATAAAGGGTGCATTTATCATGGGGTTCGTCTCAGCGGAAACTAGGTCTTTTTATTACATTCTTGCTGCTCATTTTTGAATGTCAAAGTGAAACGTTATATAATGTACCCACAACACAGCAGAGAGAGAGACTTCCATTCCATCCGTCTCGACTGGTTCAGCCCAGGTTCCCAAGATGTGAATGGATAGTATTTAACTGACTGTGCCTCTCAGTCTATACCCCAAGTCCTATTTAAACACTTAACTTCCTCTACGCTGACAGCCACAAATAAACACATGCTTTTCATTCAAAGCCGAACTTGCAATGTCGCTCTCCTAATGGTTCCTGTGCGAGAGAGGATTTCCATTCGATGAGCTTCCGCAACTCTGCGTTGCGTAAAAGTTACTTTGCTTTACTTACGCTCAATACAGCGACACCCCATCCTCAGGCAACGGGCATAGGCTTCCAAAGAGGACTCACTAGAGAACTGGTCCCCCGTCAGGTAGCTGTAACACAGTTAAGGGGCGTCAGCATAGGGCAGTGTCAGTGGTAAGCCACATCAAAGGTAATAATCCCTTCAAAAATAAACAACAATAATAAATTGGTCACTCAATTCCACGACTGTTTGTGGGACGCTGCTGTGCGCAATTGGCTGCCGTGTTTCGTCCACAAAATATACAGTCAATTCACTTTACAGTATATTCTGTGAAGCGCTTTGAGACGTCTCGATGACGTGATAAGGCGCTGTATCAAATGCAAGGATTATTATTATTATTTTAATACTCTCTGGAATTGGCTAAACAGGATGAGTCCCTCCAGGGAGACCGCGAGAGAGAGAGAGAGAGAGAGAGCGCGTTCCATTCCAACAATCTATCTCTGGGATTTCCAGGTGGAGGTGGGATGTGTGAGATTCTCTGCTTGGTTTGGATGCTCTTTTGAACTCACGCTGACGGGTTTCCGCGTGTGTCAGGCTGACCCCAAAAAAATGCAGCTTACTCCTCAGATGAAACCCCTTTTGAGTCAATTTATGATCTGACGCCCTGGTTCGCCACTTCCTGTTTATGATGATTTTTTTTTCTAGCAGAGATGTTACCATAATTGAGTGACAACTGCAGTCAACAGACAATCTACTGGTCGCGAGACTGACTGACTGTGACTGACTGACTGACAAATTACTGCTGTGGTCACAGGTCACAGACCGCACTCACGCACAACTTCTCTTAGTTAGCTGCACCCAGGTAATAAGTCGGCTGCAACTGAGCCACTTCAAGTGCTGGACCCAGCCCAGCAGAGTGGTTTTCCTGAAAGAGGATGGGCAATAAATCCCGTCCCGCCCACATCCCCCCGCCCCCCCAATCTGTCTCCTCTGTCAGCCCATATGTGACAAAACCTAATGAAGATCTTCGAGATGAACATGGTCCCTCAGTGTAGAACTGACGATGTGGGTTAAATAATAATTCTCCCGAGATCCTGTACTGACCGACCGACCGACCGGTCAGTCACTCCGTCAGGGCCATCTGCCTATTTTCCTTTTGTAACCCCGAAACTTTCTTTCCTCTTGTACTCCCCTCACCACCACGACTACCCCCCCTCCCCCTCCACCCCACCCACCCCACCCCCACCACCCGCCCCTTTTGCTTAAAGCACACAAGCACACCAACATCGGGTCTACCAGGTGTACAGAAAAGCAAGGCCACGGAATCCTCGGTTGTGAATACTTGGCCAACATTACAGCCCACTTGATATTGTATCGGTTTGCTCACCGTTCAAACAACTCTGGAAAAGCAAAGCGTGACGGTAACATGTAACTTAGCTGCCCTGAGCTGTGTGGTGTTGCAGAAGAGCCGGGGATGTCACTCACGTGTTATGAGAAGAAGAGATCCAGTAATGAGACAGGGGGCTGTTCATCTCCTCAAGGCTAACCTGATCAAATCCCGCATCCCAAGCTGAGTTTTCCTTGGAAAACAGGAAACTCAGGAACTGAAAAGGAAAAGAAAATATCATGAGGTTCTAGCCCGACCGAAGATTTCAGCTTTCGGCCTTCAACCTGACACTTGCTGGTACTGTCTTCCCCTCCCCTTTCCTCCTCTCTCACAAATCATGCACCCCCACCCCCCCTCCACCCCTTGGGAGATGTAGATCGCAATACTCTGGAGAACAGTCTTAAGTCTTAGAGAAGTGCTACCCTCTGTGAAGGGCGCTATATCAATGAAAGTTGTTGTTATTGTCTCAGACTATCAGAAGCGAATGGGCGTCTGCATTGGCTCATTCTCACTCTTCAATGGGAAGTACTATCACTCCTCTCAGCTGCCATTGGATCCCAATTCCTCCCCCCTCTGTCTCCCTCACTTTGGCATCCAACCAAAGCCAGACAGGGAGAGACAGTAAAGCACCCTGAGACGTTAACCTATGTGAATGGCGCTGTCTAAAACAAGTTATTGCTGTCGTTCTTACCTCATCCAGATAGAAAAACGGGTCTTCAATCTCCCTCAGGGGGTCACGGAGGTAATTAAACATGAACTCCTTCACCTGATGAATGTCTATAGCCCATCGTTCCTACAAAACCAGAAGAAGACATTGAAGACTGTGAAACAGATGATGCGCGTCCAAGCAGATTATTTTCCTAGGAGTTTATCCAACAAACATTTGGTGCCTGGGATATAGTTGAAGGCTTTATAAATAGCTACGTAACTAAAGTCTCACTCGCAGCTGAGGTAAGCTGCAATTTACCTTCTGATAATCCAGTAGAAATCGCTGAAAATCCGGGAGGCAGATTTTGCAGACTTCAGGCTTCTCGCAGTTCCTAATGTGCAGAAGGAAGAATTAAATTAGATTCACCAACACCCCACCACCTGCCCAGATCTCAACACAGGGTCTCTCACAACAACAACGTGTATTTACACAGAACCCCTCGTCCAGGGTAGCGTCCCAGAGGGCTCAACGTAATAATGAGCAGATGAATGGTATCGAGTTACGCAGAGTAATATGACATGGAAGTAGGGTGGATTCACCCAGGAAGAGAGTGCTCGTTCCATTCCAGACACAGGGCAATGCCCATGCGTCGGGTGACATACATAGGAGCTCTCAGCCTGGTTTGGTTACTCTTAAGCCCGATGATGGGTTTACGTATGGACCAGACCCCCTGGTCACCAGGAGAAAACACATGCTGGGCAGAACTGGCTCAAAACCACAGCCTAAAAAAAACCCTAAGAACAATGATCCTCACTGCGCGCCGCTTCCGCTTAGGGCAGTAGTGTGACAATGTAGATCACTGAGTAAGAAGGCCAGTGCCATGTTACTCAGAGTGAAACTACCGTACATGCAAATTTACACCGAGTTCTTAGGCTTGTCAGTTGGGAGACGAACTCAACCCTATTTCACTTGGGATCTTCACAGCCAGCTGAACTGGTATGAATTCGCTCCAGCAGTCAAACATTCAGCACGTCAAACCAGCATCGACTTTTAAACACTCACCTCTGAAGGAAAGGGACCTCAATCTGCAGGAAAGTAAAACACAAAGCCGTCAGAATGAAGCATTTCGGAAAGATCTCCTGATATAAAAAAAACTACCACACTTTCCCCATGGTTTTGAACGGTGACTCAGCCTGACAATGCCTCTACGTACACACAGTAATAAGTGTGTGCATTGTTACATGTATATTTATGACACTGCCCACAGGAAAATCACTTCTGTTTTTTTGCATGATCAATCTGTTATACCAGGCTCCGGTTTCCATGTGTCGTGGGTGTACAAACCTGCACACCAGCGCATTGGCTCTTGGCACAAACGACAAAGGTTAAGAATAATTCAATCTTATCCACACCCAACAGTAAGGGGGTGAGTAAGGAACACAGGAACGTTGCGTCTGGTTTCTGGTGAAAACCATTCAGTGTAATTGATACTTACGTGTTTCTGAGCATCGAACATCAGACTCCTGTAGAGCTGTGCAAACTGACAGTATGTGACGTCCCCACTTCGCAACTCCAGGTCCTGATGGGAATAAATGGTGAACAGAATTAATTGAGGAGGGAATTTTGGGGAGAGGTTGATCCTAGAAACCCAAATGACGATTTGCTACAGCATTACGATCTGTAATTTACATTAAATTAGCATTCTGATTAAAACATTTATCCAAAATTAGATATTTGGGGGGGGACAAATTTGCAGGGCTATGGGGAGAGAGCGGGATTAATTTGGATAGCTCTTTCAAAGAGCCAACATGGACACAATGGGCCGAATGGCCTCCTTCTGTGCTGTATAATTCCATGATTCTATGACAAGGTTAGTACAGCATCGAGATAAACCTGGTCTTCTGCCCGTGACATGGTAATAAAGATTCCCAATTGCACGGGACAATTGACGTTGACATATTATATTTTTTTAAAAAGGTTTTAAAAATTCACCGTAGAATAAGAATCGGGAGAACAAAGGAAGTATGCAATTTACCGTGAATTTTTCCCGCAGGAACTTCATGTTGGGGACTCGGTAGTTAACCTGGGATAGCATGTTCTTCAGATCTTTCACTGTGATCCTAGGAGAAGGCAAATAGCATAGCTGAACTCTGGCTCGCGTCAGCTTAACTCGCTACAGATCACCCCGTTTGAAGCCTGATGTCAAAGACTGCTTGAAGGGGGTGGTTGGGTCAGGGGACATGCAGAGCAGGAATATGGAATGAACCCACAGAAATCCGCTCCCCCTTTTCCAACAGGTGGGCAGAATTGGCCTTACCGATCTTCTCGATTCCGATCCACAATGTAGAACTGTTTCCTCAGCCACCTACAATAAAAGAACACGCAATTCAGACTTGGCCACGTTACCTCCTGACACTCAACACTTGTGACATATTCCCTCTGTGTGTGTGTGTGTGTGTGCGTGTCTGTTTGTGTGTGTGCATCCCAACCCCCCCCCCCCCAGCCCAGCCAACCCCCTCACTGTAGTTTCTGGGAGATCTCTTTACCTTTCGATCTGAAGCGGTGTTGGTGATTTCATAGTGTCAGCCAGAAGCCAATTGAGCCCACTTATCCACATGTTCATCTCGTCTTCTGAGGTGGCTGTGAAAGAGAGCGGAGTGTGAGAGATAGAGCATGAAACTGTCCTCCCAGGGAGGCCTCATACAACCGCATGTTAACATATCGCAGCGCCTCCATTAAATTGGCACCAACGCCATTGGACATCGGAGAAATTTGTCTCCACGCCATCATTCAGCCATTCACACTGGCTCACAGGTTCTCCAGGCTGCTGCTTTGTAACCTGGCTGGAAACCAAGTCACAAAACTAACTCGCCTTTCACAGCAACTCACTAATTGACTGTGATTTTTCCTCAATGTGCTTCCAAAATGTCCCCTAGTGCCAGAGGAGGTGAAGGGATGCACATTAATGTCTTCCACACCCACAAAATCCCCGCTCACACTCTTAGTCAGGGCATCTCACAAGGCAGACGGTGACCAAGGAACATCCCCAAATGGGAGAAAGAGATAAATGAGTAGATATTTGTCAGGTCAGGGTATCGAAGGTTGCGGGGCAAGGGCAGGTAATTGAAGTTGAGGTACAGATCAGCTGTGATCTTATAGAATGGCGGAACAGGCTGGAGGGGCTGAATGACCTCCTTCTGTTTCTATGATAAACGGATTCTTTTCTCCTAAAAAAAATGCAACCTTAAGACGGCAACAAAAGCATTGTAATGTTCCGAGTTAAAGAGGAAAAGGAAGCGACTGCGATTGTGAAAGGATCCTGACTCACACACCGAGGGATTACCTGCGAGACTGAGAGTTTTGAGCCGGAATTCCATCCCGTACAGAATGACAAAACAGTGGGTTAAATCTGGCCGGGAGAGATCGGGCCGAGCGCCATCATCCTGGTATCGTTCAAAATCCCGGGAATTCCTTCCCGGACGAATTTCTTTGATTTCTCGAATGTCAACTGCAAGAAAGGATATAGGAATCAGCAGGGATGCTCTGTGTGGGAATATGTGGGTCTCTGCGCGCGTGTGTGTGTGTGTGTGTGTGTGCGTGTGTATGTGCGTGTGTCTAGTCACCCATTTTGTTAAATCAACAATAATCCCTGCATTTGATACAGCGCCTTTCGTGTTGGGAGGACTCTTCAAACAGCTTCACAGGATTCACGGTAAAGTGTAGTGACTGCGTATGTTGCGGGTGACCAGGGCAGCCAATTGCGCACAGCGGTGTCCCACAAACAGTCGTCCGGTGAATGATCGGGTCTTATTTTGAGAATGGAGGAAAGTGCCATCTACCCTCATCCCCTCCACTCCACCGACGGCAGCCTTGCTTTCAGCCACTACGCTATGGAACTCTCTTCCTCAATCTCCCCGTCTTCAGGTCACACCCGTAGAGCTTCCTCTTCAACTACGCCAGTGGTCCCAGGCCTGCGTCGTGCTCGGACACTGTCAAGCGCTTCAAGAAACCATGCACGTGAAGAGGCACTATATATAAACGCAAGTTGAATCCCGCTCTGCGAGTGTTACACTTGCTCCGAAACATTTAAGCTCCGTCGGAAACTCACTCAGTGCCATTGGAGTAGTGGATGGGGACAGCGGGTGGGAATCTCCAGGACGATTGGGCACCAATGTGAGGCGATGAGGTTTGTTTTCATGCAGATTCTCCAGTGTGCAATCATTCTTTTTGTTTGGCGGTCACATTACAAAGGAGTTAAGATTATGACCTGAATTCGAACTGACATCTCCCTCTTCCAACACTCTGCTGGCTGCTCTGAAAAGGGACACCTCATTACAAACACAACAGGGATGAATTAGCATCCACTGCAGGCAACAACACACTGACGGAGCTGGTTGGCAAAGCCCCCTCAGCCTCAGCAGATGTGTGTGCACAACAGAGGAGGTCTTTGTTCTCCTACTTCAGGATCAGCTGAACATCCAGGTCTGCAAATTAGCGAGATTTCCTCAAAAAACGGAATCCATTCCTGCGAAAGAATAGGCCTTCCTTCTCTTGCCTCAGTCCACAGGCGTTCAAAGCTTTTTTCCTTAAACATCTGCATAGTAGCATGGCATTGATGTACAGTAAAGTTCCTTCCGATCTTAAGGCTTTTGTACTTTTTCTCTCTCGCCTCCAACTTTCTCCCGAAGGCACCAACTTGTTCCGAATCTGATTCCACAGCCACCAGGTGCCCTCCAGTATCTCACTCAGGTGGTCGTTCTTTACCGTGACCACTGTCTTGTTTCGCACAGTCACTACACTTTGCAGTGTATTTATTCCGTGAAGCGCGATGGTCAGGGTTGCTTGTGCTACAGGCTATTTTAAACCCACATAAAATAAAACAATAATATTCCTTGCATTTGATACAGCGCCTTATCATGTCTTCACGACTTCTCAAAGCGCTTCACAGAATATACTCTCAAGTGAATTGACTTGTGAATTTTGTGGGCAAAATATGAACTTGTCAACTTCTGCCTCCACTGCCTGTAAAACTTAGCTCGATCACACTGTCAGTCATAGCCTGTCCTTGAAACCTGCGCTGTTTCATGTCAAAGATGCTTCACAAAGAGGAGATATTTTGCCCACACAAAACCACACAGTGGTTGGGTTTCTAACATTCAGTGAAGCACTCTGACCAAATTGTAAGGATTATTTAACACTTAATTATTAAACAAAACAATGGTTTCGAAAGTTTAAAATTAACAAAAAAATGTACTTGTAAGTCTCGCTGCTTAAACGGGCGTTTACATTGACCCAAGTCCCATTTTGTTAAAGAGCTTTCTTCTATATACTGCGGGGTTGGCTTTTATATAAACCAGTTTGGATTTGCTGGTAAACCAGGCCGCGAGACAAGGCTGCTCTTGTGCTGCGCTGCTGAGAATCTGAGCCGTCTGTGCGAGATTCAGAGCTGCTTCTGAAGGAAACGTTTCTTTCAAGGTTGCACATTAATGAGGAAACCATAAAATTCGTGACTGTGGCATAGCAGAGACTCACAGGGGGAAGGAGGGGGGAGGCGGGGGGAGCGGGAGGGGGAGGGAGAGAGGAAACGTCTTGCATTACAGGTGATGATGAGCTTCGTCAGCTCCCAGCTCCTCGAACAGGACCTGGCGGGCACATGAAGGACAGCAAAAGGGCACAAGTAAAGGCAGCCACTGCAGCTCATTATATTCGACATCGACGGACACCAAGGGAGGGAGAAACCTGCACAGAATTTCCTCTAAAAGGGGCAAGGGGACGCAGAGCAACCCTCCCATCCCCTCCCCGTCAATATTTACTGATCACAACTTCCTATCGAAGGAACCCAAGCCATGGATGGCCTGCCTCCTGTCACTTAACCCTGTGCTTGCTGTGCGGCTGAGGCCGTCGCCTACTCATCATAACAACAACAACTTGCATTTGGCGGCAGGCAGGCAGTGGGGGAGGCAGCAGTAGAGCAAGTTAATGTTTCGCCCACAAAACACATAAGTCAATTCACTTGACAGTGTATTCTGTGAAGCGCTTTGAGATGTCTCAAAACACGTGATAAGGCGCTGTACCAAATACCAGGGTTATTATTTATCGTAAGAAAGCGTGAAGAACACACCTCACCCCTTTCGTCCAGTCAACAAGGCAGCCCAGATTGGCCTTTCACCTTTCCTGTTAAGCATCCTAAAACGCAAGGCATTTTAACTTCTCCCCTTGTTTGCTCTCCTCTACCTTTACCAACTCACAGACAGACGATAGACAGACAGACAGTCAGACAGACAGACAGATTGATCCCCGTGATACCAACTCTGCTCTACCGTTGCCAGGGGCTGTTACATTGCTGGTAAACAGCTAAGTAGAAATGTGAACTCGTCTTGACCATAATTTGACCCATTGGACCCAGCGAGGCTGTGCAAACAATGCCAGGAATCAGGTCAGTCTCCAACTTCCCTGGGATTGTTAAGGTCCAGCCTGATTCTATTTTTTTTAAACAAAATGCTCCCCATCTTGTTCAACCCTTAAAAGCCACCCCTCCGTCAGTGGCTGTAAGCGTGGCAATAATCATCACCAGATGCTGTGCAACAGGAGCTTGCAGCTGCCGCGCCAGTTGTGTTTTTTCCCCCGTGTGGTGGGAAATCAGGAGTCAGCCTGTCTCGTCTTTTGTGAGGCATTGGGAGAAACTCTGGATGTGGGGGGGGGGAGGGGAGCGAACGGAAGGGGGGGGGGCGCGAGGGGTTAAATCAACAGCACGTTAACAAGTCACGAGGTAGCAAGAGCCCAAGCGATCATTGGTATTAAACTTTAACATGCCGTATCTTCACCCCCCTCTCCCCCCATCCCTCCCCCTCCCCCACCGCTCCAAGGTTTTTGTGTTTCTTAACCTGACTGCAGTGTCTGGCTGACCCCCACAGCTCTGAAAGACAGGATGTCGCTGAGCAACAACAATAAAGCAGCTTGGCACTGTCAGCCATTCCCCAGGGGACTGAGCTCGGAACGAGACATGGGTATATGTTACAGGTGAAATAGGGATCGATACCGAACTACTGCACTGACATGGAGAAGGGAGGAGGAGGTGGTGGTAGGGGGGAGAGAGAGAGGGAGCAAGATAGAGGAGATAAAACACACACACACACACACACACACACGCGGGCAATTCATTCCCCCGTAAACTTGACAAAGAACAATGACTTTCACATCCTGCAGCTGACAGGCTTCCAGTCAAGGCTGGCAACAAGCATTTCGGACTAGAGACGCAGTTCGGCCTCAGCGCAAGTCAGATCCGCTCCGGATGGAAGTGGTTGTGGTTTGAGTGGAACCCTCGCTCGACAGTTGTTTTTAATGTGCGTCCCAACAACAACAACAACAAGGCGCCTTTCTTTGGCCTGACTGTTTGGCTCAGAACAAAGCAACAGGTCGAACACATACAACGCACACACTAACACACACACCCATACTACACTGCACTACGCACACACACACACTACCCAGGTGAAAGAGACGCAATTTTCTACACAAGTTTGCTTTTATTTCTTCCTCACCACCAAAAAAAAAGTTTCTTTTTTTGTTAACTCCCTTCTTTCTTCGTTATATAATAAGGATCACGTTGTCCAAATGCCTCGAAGTGCTTTCCTGCCAGATGTGGCGACTGGGTATTCGTGGGTTAATGTGCTGCACAGGCTTATACTCTGCAAACGGTCAGGCAGTGAATGACCAACTTTATCTGGGGGGGGGGTGGGATTTGTTGGACAATGACACCAGGAGAAACTCTCTTCGCTTGTAAAACAATGTCACGGGATCTTTAGCAGCCATGTGAGCGGGGGCCAACAGGCAGTGTGGCCAATCCACAAGCCCCTGCCCTCCAGATCCCAACCCCACCCCCGGCTCGGGTCCAAGTCCCTGACTGTCCAGTGCCTTGGGATGTCCTCCCAACATGAAAGGCGGCTGCGTGCGTACATTTAATGTGTTGTTGTTGTTGCTCTTCAACTGGGAAGCGTATGTAAGGATGCACCAGATGTTTGGCTGTTACCCGCCCCCTCCCCAGTGTGTGTGTGTGTGTGTGTGTGTGTGTGGTGGGAGGGTGGGGGCTGCACTCCATGGCTGTGCTCTACGCACTGTATCACAGCGGCAAAGGACAGATCGCAGCTGGAATATTAATTGCTGCGTACAGTTCCGAGATACGTCAGGCGAGAAATTCTGCCGTGTGTCCAATGCCTCTCTCTCGCTCTCTCTCTCTCCATCTCAACACCCTCTGATTTTTTTTTTTACACGCATCAAACGCTCATCAGCATTCAGACACTCGCTGCGAGATTCCTGATGTATTTTTCTTCCCTGGAAGAAAGGAAGGCTGCTCTCTCTGGCAAGGCTTTCAGTCATCTGCCTCCATCCACAACCGCTGGAGGAGCCAGCAAGGAGGAGCGAAAACGCCTCCCCTCCAAACACACGCCAAAAATCAAGCTTAAGCCCCAAACTGAAAGAAAGGCCCCTCCTTCAGCTCGGTGTGCGCCA